TTAGATAACACGCCAATAACTGGTCCTATAAACTCCAAAGATCAACCTGGATATATCGGAGAACAAGTTAACAATGCGATTGACCATTCAGTTCGATCTATGCCACCTTCTTCCTATAGAATGTTACATTTAATCGTTCATGCCTTAATTGGATCTTCTGCGCACTCTCCGACAACATTAAATTTCTTACGAAGACATAACCAAACAGCAAATAACACTGAACAATATTGTCTGGGCCATATTATTACTGATTGGACAGTTCTTAGACAAATTCTTAACTGCTCAGATGAACACTTGGCATTGCTGTTTCATTCATTACTTACAATTATGACACAAACACCACCGCCTGCGTCAATACTAAGGACATCAGCTGACCGTGACAATTGGGAAACGCAATTTACTCGAAATTACGTTTCTCCATTAATTAGGAGTGTTACTGAAACTGTAACAAACTTTAGCACAGCATTAGCCGCTGCATCTGCAGGTCAAGGCAATAATGCCAATATTATCGAATCGGAAATTGATCAAACTAGAGCGATAGATGAAGAATATCGAATTTCGAAATTACCACGACTTTGGCGTAAAATTGACTTAGTTACTTTTAATAGTTTCCGTGCTTATTATAATGGAGACCTAGCGCAATATCAAGCAAAATATCCATTTCTTGCGGTATTTTTCAAATATTCTGAACGATTAGAAATCATTAAGAACCTTTGGCCAATTGTACAATTCGTACAAATCTTGTCTTCGCGTCTTTCTTATCGAATCAGCAGAAAAGTTGCTGAAAAGATGACCTTTGACGAATTCATTGATAGGGAAGCGGACAAAGCTGATTTAAATAAAATGTATAAAAAATTTGAGGAATCTTGGAATATCGTTATCGAAAAGGTTGATAGATACCAATGTCATGAATTAAGTGAAAAACCAGAAATGAATCGTACTAGGCCTATTATTATGGGATTAATAGAAGAAAAAGATTTGAGTCTTTATCTCTGTGCAATTTTAGAATATTTGATTGGCTTACAAAACAATTTCTTGCAAGATGTTATGACTATCCCCCCTGGTTCTTGTAAAGCACTTAGATTTTTAGAACAAACGTCATTTGATGCAGAAGAGGGAACTTCTACTGTAACATCAACTAGTCAATATTCCGTTCGCTCATTAACACTTAATCAAGCTCATTTTGATAACATTATTTCATATAACCAAGATGAATTTAGGGGAATTCATATGTTCAGCCAAAGAAATTTAGGAGTTGGACGTGGTCTTGACATTATTTATGATTTACAAAAAATAGAAGTTGAACTTGCACGGCAACTTGTATTTGAAAAGGTTTATATAGATACAGTAGGCGAAACTTCATTATACATGCAACCTTTTTCATATCATATGGAACTAATTCAAGTATCCATTCGTATTCTTGGAGATATACAAGAACTAATTCCCCAAGAACCTATTCCAACTGAACTAGCAGAATCGTTAACAGGATCTTCGGTAAACATGCCATATTCTTTCCAACCAAACAGTATGGATACATCGTTTGATAATCCATCAGAAATTCTTTCATCCTTGGAAATTCTGCTATGCTTTATTAAAAGGACACCCGGTGGCAATGGTGAAAGTTTTATAAAAGATTATGTAAACCAATGGTCAACACTTTCTGGACTTAGCGAAAATCATGAATTTCGTAGTTTGCTAAACAAACCCTTGAGACTTAAGCACATAATTTCCTTATATGAATTAATAGAGGGACTAGTAGCAAATTTAACAATTGAATATACTCATGAAAAATACAAGGAAGAGCTCACTCCTAAACAGCGAGAAGAAATAGACAATATTATAGATTTTGAAGTTAAACAACCTGCATCAATTGTTGATAGAAAAATAATGAAATTCTCTGCTGAAGTTTTTGCTACAGCTCTTAGAAGATTTATTTATAGATTTTTACAAGGCGAAAAACAAAAAGAGACCGAACAACTTGTGCTTTACGTTTGTGAACCATCACTTCACTTTTGGCCATCTATAATTTCTGAAACAGAAAATTTTGATGAATTATTCCCAGGAAGCTTGTTAGTTAATCAAGCATTTGAAGCCTACAAATATGTTATTGAACAGATTGAGGTAATTATTTTTGAAAATTTACTAGAGATCTTTATTTTTTTCCATTATTTAATACTAAAATTTTTTTATAGCATCATAAACAAATGGCATCCTTACGAGAACAACAAATACAAAACAGTCTAAATCCAGAGGCTACAAGATTACCCCCAGCTGTTCCAGCAGCTCAAAGAGGACCATCTACAAGGAGAAGACAGAGACAATATAATGATGTACTTTAAATTTTTTTAATACATTGAAATTATTATAAGCTGCTCATAATGTTGAACTTTTAAATAGTAAAATTTTCAATTTATTTTTTTTATGAAATTTGACGTTTTTGTATTTGAGTTCATAATATATAATTCTGTAAAAAAACTAGATTTATTAATTCGCAAAATAAAATAAAAAATATATATGTGTGGTTAATATTTAGATGTTCTTCACGCAAGAATGATATTTTCAAATTGCATAATGTCTTGCACGAAATAAAACTCGTCTTTTTTTGTCGCGGACTTTCTTACTTTTCAAGGATTATTATAAAATAGTTGACTAATCAGAAATCAGCTTTGTCAGCACGTGATATCATTTTGTCAAATAATCGTTGAACTAAGCAGTCAATCAACGGGCATAATTCATAATTTCGAAGTAAAATAACTCGTAAAAGAATCAGACTATTCACTCGCACTCTAATAGAAGTTTTACAATAAAAAACTATTTTAAAAGGTTTTTAACAAGTTATACATTAATAATTTTATAATACGTGGCCATTCAAATGTAGATACAAATCCCTAAGAGAAAAAGTGCAGCAACGTTGCTTAATTTCAGTTTGGCTAATCAAGTACAGTTGTAGTAAATGTAGGAAAAAGAAAAAACAGTTTATTATTTAGTATTTGGGAGTAATTGTCATATGTGCTATTTTCTTTCCTATTATTCTATTATGCTTTTCACCATTCTCTTTTACCTAAATAGGGTAACTAAATAAGAATTTTTTTTCTCAGTATTATCTTGAGCATGTTAATGGTTTAAGCTGAAAATGTGTAATCTTTCTAACCATTAAATCACTTAAATAATTGGAAATGGCCACGTATTATAAAATTATTAATGTATAACTTGTTAAAAACCTTTTAAAATAGTTTTTTATTGTAAAACTTCTATTAGAGTGCGAGTGAATAGTCTGATTCTTTTACGAGTTATTTTACTTCGAAATTATGAATTATGCCCGTTGATTGACTGCTTAGTTCAACGATTATTTGACAAAATGATATCACGTGCTGACAAAGCTGATTTCTGATTAGTCAACTATTTTATAATAATCCTTGAAAAGTAAGAAAGTCCGCGACAAAAAAAGACGAGTTTTATTTCGTGCAAGACATTATGCAATTTGAAAATATCATTCTTGCGTGAAGAACATCTAAATATTAACCACACATATATATTTTTTATTTTATTTTGCGAATTAATAAATCTAGTTTTTTTACAGAATTATATATTATGAACTCAAATACAAAAACGTCAAATTTCATAAAAAAAATAAATTGAAAATTTTACTATTTAAAAGTTCAACATTATGAGCAGCTTATAATAATTTCAATGTATTAAAAAAATTTAAAGTACATCATTATATTGTCTCTGTCTTCTCCTTGTAGATGGTCCTCTTTGAGCTGCTGGAACAGCTGGGGGTAATCTTGTAGCCTCTGGATTTAGACTGTTTTGTATTTGTTGTTCTCGTAAGGATGCCATTTGTTTATGATGCTATAAAAAAATTTTAGTATTAAATAATGGAAAAAAATAAAGATCTCTAGTAAATTTTCAAAAATAATTACCTCAATCTGTTCAATAACATATTTGTAGGCTTCAAATGCTTGATTAACTAACAAGCTTCCTGGGAATAATTCATCAAAATTTTCTGTTTCAGAAATTATAGATGGCCAAAAGTGAAGTGATGGTTCACAAACGTAAAGCACAAGTTGTTCGGTCTCTTTTTGTTTTTCGCCTTGTAAAAATCTATAAATAAATCTTCTAAGAGCTGTAGCAAAAACTTCAGCAGAGAATTTCATTATTTTTCTATCAACAATTGATGCAGGTTGTTTAACTTCAAAATCTATAATATTGTCTATTTCTTCTCGCTGTTTAGGAGTGAGCTCTTCCTTGTATTTTTCATGAGTATATTCAATTGTTAAATTTGCTACTAGTCCCTCTATTAATTCATATAAGGAAATTATGTGCTTAAGTCTCAAGGGTTTGTTTAGCAAACTACGAAATTCATGATTTTCGCTAAGTCCAGAAAGTGTTGACCATTGGTTTACATAATCTTTTATAAAACTTTCACCATTGCCACCGGGTGTCCTTTTAATAAAGCATAGCAGAATTTCCAAGGATGAAAGAATTTCTGATGGATTATCAAACGATGTATCCATACTGTTTGGTTGGAAAGAATATGGCATGTTTACCGAAGATCCTGTTAACGATTCTGCTAGTTCAGTTGGAATAGGTTCTTGGGGAATTAGTTCTTGTATATCTCCAAGAATACGAATGGATACTTGAATTAGTTCCATATGATATGAAAAAGGTTGCATGTATAATGAAGTTTCGCCTACTGTATCTATATAAACCTTTTCAAATACAAGTTGCCGTGCAAGTTCAACTTCTATTTTTTGTAAATCATAAATAATGTCAAGACCACGTCCAACTCCTAAATTTCTTTGGCTGAACATATGAATTCCCCTAAATTCATCTTGGTTATATGAAATAATGTTATCAAAATGAGCTTGATTAAGTGTTAATGAGCGAACGGAATATTGACTAGTTGATGTTACAGTAGAAGTTCCCTCTTCTGCATCAAATGACGTTTGTTCTAAAAATCTAAGTGCTTTACAAGAACCAGGGGGGATAGTCATAACATCTTGCAAGAAATTGTTTTGTAAGCCAATCAAATATTCTAAAATTGCACAGAGATAAAGACTCAAATCTTTTTCTTCTATTAATCCCATAATAATAGGCCTAGTACGATTCATTTCTGGTTTTTCACTTAATTCATGACATTGGTATCTATCAACCTTTTCGATAACGATATTCCAAGATTCCTCAAATTTTTTATACATTTTATTTAAATCAGCTTTGTCCGCTTCCCTATCAATGAATTCGTCAAAGGTCATCTTTTCAGCAACTTTTCTGCTGATTCGATAAGAAAGACGCGAAGACAAGATTTGTACGAATTGTACAATTGGCCAAAGGTTCTTAATGATTTCTAATCGTTCAGAATATTTGAAAAATACCGCAAGAAATGGATATTTTGCTTGATATTGCGCTAGGTCTCCATTATAATAAGCACGGAAACTATTAAAAGTAACTAAGTCAATTTTACGCCAAAGTCGTGGTAATTTCGAAATTCGATATTCTTCATCTATCGCTCTAGTTTGATCAATTTCCGATTCGATAATATTGGCATTATTGCCTTGACCTGCAGATGCAGCGGCTAATGCTGTGCTAAAGTTTGTTACAGTTTCAGTAACACTCCTAATTAATGGAGAAACGTAATTTCGAGTAAATTGCGTTTCCCAATTGTCACGGTCAGCTGATGTCCTTAGTATTGACGCAGGCGGTGGTGTTTGTGTCATAATTGTAAGTAATGAATGAAACAGCAATGCCAAGTGTTCATCTGAGCAGTTAAGAATTTGTCTAAGAACTGTCCAATCAGTAATAATATGGCCCAGACAATATTGTTCAGTGTTATTTGCTGTTTGGTTATGTCTTCGTAAGAAATTTAATGTTGTCGGAGAGTGCGCAGAAGATCCAATTAAGGCATGAACGATTAAATGTAACATTCTATAGGAAGAAGGTGGCATAGATCGAACTGAATGGTCAATCGCATTGTTAACTTGTTCTCCGATATATCCAGGTTGATCTTTGGAGTTTATAGGACCAGTTATTGGCGTGTTATCTAA